GGGATATTTTCCACGTAAAAACCTCTGACACCTAGTGTTAGGGATATTTTCCACGTAAAAACCTCTGACACCTAGTGTTGGGGATATTTTCCACGTAAAAACCTCTGACACCTAGTGTTAGGGATATTTTCCACGTAAAAACCTCTGACACCTAGTGTTAGGGATATTTTCCACGTAAAAACCTCTGACACCTAGTGTTAGGGATATTTTTTCCACGAAAGTAAAACTTTAACACTAAGTGTTAGGGATATTTTTTACGCAAAAAACCTCTGACACTTAGCGTTAGGGGTATTTTGCACGGTATTGGCTACTTACTGTCAAGGGTATTTTAAGAAAAAAAATTCACATATTTTTCTGTAAAATATTTCATTATTTCTTTAATTAATTAAATTTATATTATATAAATTAAATATTAAATATATTCTGCAAATTTTAGTTATTAAATAAGGAAGTTGTTTTTATTTTATGTATAAAATTGGTCAGTCAGCAAGAAGAAACTTCCTAACTAATAGAGGACAATAGAAGATTGCACCTGTCTTCACTTCGATGCAATATATGGTCATCAAAAGAGAATCGGTCAAGTTGTTCTGACATAAAAAGACAGAACAAGTCAATGAGTGACAACCCGCATTCCCATTGCAGAAAGCATACAAAAAGAAATAAACAATAGAAAATTTCCTTCCTTTCTTAATTTCTTTTTCCATTTATTACTTGATGATGATGATGATGATGATAAATATATTCAACTTATTAATGTTAATTAAAATTTTCAAATGTATTTTAGTATATACAGGGTGGCCCATAAGTCAGTTAGCATCGTGTAAGTTCAGGTAATTAAACACGTAACAGATTAAAACAATACGACAGTAATTTAGCCTTTCAAACGGTTAACTGACTTCTGGCCATTCTGTATTATAAAATTAATAGAAAAAAACGCGATTAAAAATTGATTTTAAAATATAAGAAAAGTGACAAAACTGATTGAATATTAAATGGAGAATTCATAAATAACATATAAGAACTCATTGCATATTTAACGTTTATAGGCCTATATATATATAAAGTATTGTTTACTTACATATATAAATAAAATAGAAAATCGTATGAATATATAAAATTTTAATAAAAATAATTTCAAAATATAATTTCTTATACATATAAATCTTGTTTATCAATACACCTTCTCCAATAACTTATTTAAAATGATAACCAATTCGAATTTCTCTTATTGTTTATATAAGAAAAAATAAGCCTGAAAGATGATAATAATACATATAAATTGTACCTTTTGATAAAGATTTTTATCGATAAAATTAAACAAAATAATAATAATAATAATAAATTTTACTTAAGTTTTACCCTGTTCTTTTACAGCTTGGAAATATAGTTTTGAGAAAACGAAAGGTGGGAGGGGAGAATGGGAGAAAATAGAAGAAGAAAATCAATTTCTGACTTCAACACACGCACTCCCAAAATACGATACTCGAAAAGAATAAAAATCTATCTGACTGCCTTTCCTGTTTCATTTTGTAGTGTAGTAGACTAGTTCCTCTCAATCACTTGTCTTGGGCGAGAAAATATTTCCATCTACCATCCTACACTGTTGGTCCTATTCATAGCTATAAGTTGAGTGAAGTCGATCTTTTCAACTCTGGCAAATTCCTTCTCTCTGGTGGACTGTGGAATGCGAAATATTTCTTCTTTTCAAACTGAGAAACATTACGCCCCCCTCTCTCTCTCTCACCTTTTATTTAAAAAATAAAAAAACACTGAAATATGTAACTGTAAACAGTGTTTATTTAGTAATTTATGTAGTAAATATAACTTGAAATACTTTCTAAGAAAGTTATCTAGTCCAATCTTCCATTAATATAATGGTATGTATAACTGGCCCCTATAAAAGCGTGCCATATGAGGGCGGTGTCTTTATGTGTGTACCCATCAAAAGTCGGGGTGTGAACTGGTGAACTATAAAGTGGGTGTGACAAACTAACAATTTGCTAAAGAATTTTACTTACGAAAAAGTTATATCAATTGTTATCTTATATATATATATATGTCACATGTATTTTTAANTGTATAATTTATTTACAATTATTCATAATTCATTTCCTCTTTAATTCTAGATTATTTTCTTGTATTTAAACGTAAAATAACTTTAAAAAAATGCATTATTCTTATAGAAAACAATCAAAATATTTAGATTTTTTTTTTTGCTCATTGTACGAGTACTTGTTTACTTTAAAAGTACATAGAATTTTAATAATTAATTGTTGGAATTTGCATAAATAAACAATTCATTCTGTTCATTAATTTTCAAGTAAAATTAACACCAAACAATGAATCAATATTAAAGGAGAATAATCAATTAAATCATAACAAAATTTTAGTCCTGATGTTGCGCAGGAACAATTGCTCCTGGCACAAGAAGATGAGTCACACAAAGTCGTCATTTTATGACTCACTCACCTTGAACAACCTGCACACTCCATTTGCTAACAGTTCAATAAACACTTTGTATATAAATCTAATTAATATAGTTTAATCTTATTACTAAATATTGAATTTTTGCCATTTTTAATTTAAGTATTTCACCTTTTACCTCAAGTCAATAGATAAATATACTTATATATATATATATATATATATTCTACAGGTAAAGCTATAAAACTCACTCTTTTCTATCAAGGCAATTGTAAAAATAACCTAGTCTCTAAGAAGGGATCAGTAAATCTTCAAGTTTTAAAGGCAATATCCCCTTTTCTCTTGAACTTCCATTAAAGTTCGATACTCCAGTCATCAAAGAACAATTGAAAGAATCATTTATATATCTATTAAGTTAAAGAAAAAAAGGAAAAAAAGTAATTTCAACTTTAAAACTATTATATCATATACCATTTTTTTCTTTTTAAAAACTATATATTTCTAAAGATAAATTCAAGATTTTAAGTTGGATTTTATAAAACATTAGTATCTTCTACATATTCTTTATTGCTAAATGTATAATCCTTAGCACTTAAAGTGCATAAGAATAAGATTTTTCAATCTTGTTCCTGTGTTTAAGTAGTATTTTTTATTGTCAATAAAGTTTATTACGCTATCGAGAAATGTGCATCAAGTTATAAAGTTTAGTCGAGAAAGCAAAGATATCAGATGGACTTGTAAGATTTATCCATTTGTTTTATTTATATTTTCCTTTCTTTTTTTTTACTCCAGCATCAAAGGATTCTTATTGCACTCCAAAATGGGCATGAAAATAATCTGAGAAAACTGTAAAATTTATTTCCTAAATAATAAAAGTATTGTTTTTCCTCT